TGATTTATAGCATGCCCCGGCCTACGACATGTTACCACCCAACGGTTAGAGGGTGGTTTTTGCCCTAGTGACGATTTCAAGACTCTTAAGAAATGCACTTCAGACCAAGACAGTGCCAGTGACATTTCAAGACTCTTAAGAAATGCACTTCTGACCAAGACAGTGAAAAAAAAAACAACGAGTTCTCGTGCCTCCGAGCTCTTAAAAATATGTGAACTCGGCCTATGCTTCCTGGATTACAAATCATCCTGACACAATCATGTCAATTTATGACATCTCTAATATTGTTGCAACTGCATCGCATCAAGAGATTGCTCCTAAAAATAATACAGCTGGCTTTATGGTGACTAGAATTTATCCTTTTAATCAAGGTATATTATCAAAAAAAGAGTTTATGCCATCATATTTCCCAGATCGTCCCGACTTACGAACTAGTAATTTCGACAAAAATGAAGTGACTCAAAAGGTTACTCCTCTCAAATTGAGATCCCTTCCCCAAGCAGGTCCAAGAAAAACATTAAAAAGAGATAAAAGATGTTCTCAAACATCAATATTGACTGATATTTTTACCAAAGAAGCTCCTAGGGAATAGTAATTCAAGAAAATTTTATCAAGAAAAAAAGAATTTCAAGAAGATAAAGCAAATAAATACAAACAAGGCCAAAAAACGGTCTAAGCTTACAAAACATCATCAAATGTCTTCTGATTCTACAGACGACAAATACTGTTCGTGCCTTTACTGTTTTGACACTTTTAAAAACAGTAAACCTGGTGAAAACTGGATCCAGTGTATTTTGTGTCATTTGTGGACACACTGTGAATGCGCTGGGAAAGATAACAGTAATTTTTTATGTAATAATTGCTTAGGAATTGAGGATTGTAATTAAAAATAGATAGCAATAAATAATTTTTATATAGCAACATATAATTAGTGTTGCTATAAAAAAAAATTCCTTGGACAGCACGAAAAACAAATGAAGAAGTACTAGCTAGACTCAATTTAGAAAAAGAACTATTGAGAACAGTCAAAAGAAGAAAAACCAGTTATTTAGGGCATTTGTTGCGCAACGAGAAATACTATATCCCTCAGTTGATAATAAAAGGCAAAATAGAAGGAAAGCGAGGAATTGGAAGAAAAAAATTGTCCTGGTTACGTAATATCAGAAACTGGACAGGACTTGGATTTGAGGAACTCTTAAGAGCAGCTGAAGATAGACAAACGTTTGCCACCATAACTGCTAACCTCCATTGATGGAGATGGCACTTGAAGAAGAAGAAATAATATCTTCTTTTTGTATTTCTTATTAAAAAAAAAAGTTTATAATTAAAAAAAAATGGTTTGCGGCAACGCCAACGTACCTAAAGTCTGCTATAAACTTGCTTCAAAGCAGGGTAACTTGCTGCAAAAATATCGCGCCAAAGAAAACAATTTTCTTTCAAATCTTAATATTGAATAATAAATTTTTATGTTGCCAAATTTCAACTGTAATATGAATGTATTCATTAATCTTTGTAACATCCTCGATATGAACCTTAAGGATGTTTATCCCTGCGAGCGGCTGCAAGGAATACTGGTCCCACTATTCTCGAGGGCTGGCTCGCCTTCGTGGATTTACGAGAAGGTAAGGAACTTCGGAATAGGGGTTATGGACTTCTAGGTCTCAGGTCCTGTAAAGAGTTTGAGTCTATGGGCTTACTTTAGAAGCCGGATAAATGTATAAGCCGAAATTCGGTACTCTTCTGGTCTCTGTCTGAATCGGTCGGAAGGAACATAAAAACCAAATTTAGAGTCTACAATGTATTGAATATACTATGTGGTTTACAATTAAGTTAACAAGCTGTCAGATAAAATTAATAATAACTCGTTCGGCGCGAAGGGAGACGAGAAGAGATCGTAGCAAGAAAGTAAAGGGGTGACAATCTGTAATACTATAATTTACTCGTGTTAGTATATAGAATTTTGTAACCTCTAGCGTATTTAGGCTCTAGCTAATGATACGCCCTTCAGTACCTCTGGAAATCGGATTTCTTTTAGTACCCGACACTTATACGGAACTATACCCCGTCGAAATATAACAATCGCGCGTAATCCGCACCTGGTGCCGACTCTCGCCTTGACAGCCCCGCCCAGAGATACTGACTGCCTGCTATTACTGATCGCGTACTGGACGCCATCGCGTCCGACCCGGAGCCGGCGATCACTGCCCGAGCGGGCTTTCACGGTGCCCAGCTATTACTGACTGACTCGCTATTACTGATCGCGTACTGGACGCTATCGCGTCCGACCCGGAGCCGGCGATCACTGCCTGAGCGGACAGTCACGGTGCCCAGCTATTACTGACTGCCTGGTTGACCATTTTTTTTAGTTTTTATGTCACACGAACATTCCTAGTTTATTTTGCTGAGTCCTCATGATTTAAACCAGGTCGGCACTGTTACTATTTTCCAGCGTAGGTCTATGTTTATTAAAACGTGACTATTTTCTTTTTTGAACAATTGTTGCAACTGATACTGGCTCGTGTCATGCAACTAACTGGGTTAAATTGTTTTTCTTTGTATAGAGTAACATGCATACGTTACTGTATCGAAGTTTAAATCTATAATAATTATTTTGAATAATTGTTATCCTCTCTATGCTACTTAGCCCTTATTTTTCTATTCTTTATTTTCGTGCTATGTTTACATTACACAACCAACGTGCAGTATTACCCCACACATTTTTACTTTTTTCTGCTGAGGCAAGGATCCCTACTACTGTAAATAATCCTCTGTCAGCCACTGTATTGTAGCTTGTATCTCGACTTTTGAATAAACAATACAAATAGGTTGTAGTTAACTCCAAAAAAGTTTTCAGAAAGTCAAACAAAAATAAGATTTCTTGATATACAATGAAAAAATATATTTATTTAATACCTACTTATTTCATTCCACGTTTGCTTTAATAATCAAAAACTAACATAAAATATTTTTAACTGTATAAACGTACTGTAGATATCCCGTTTTCTGTCGAGGAACTTTAATCCGCTTGTCCCATTCTTTGTTTCGAACTTCGGTCGTTCTTCAGTTTCTAATCCCCACAAGTAAAAATATAAAACTCGAATGAAACTTCTGTAGTTCTATTATGTTTCCAAATTGGCTGTACGTTTTCTCATTGTCGTTGTATGGATCTCCTATACTCACGTTTTCAGTATTCTTTTAAAATCACTGGTGTATCAAGTTATATTCCCCTAGGGAATGTAACAATAATCTAATACTGATCTGTTTTTTTAAATTGTTGTGTGGGCATCAAACTGATCTTTGTCTAGTCGTCATTTTCATGGAAATTAAAAATTGATTTATGTGAAATATAGTTCCGTTTTTCCAAAAATGGCATATTGTTCAGATGAAACAATGAAGGTAATGTATCGTATAACTATTTAAAAAATACCAATAAATCTACCATATATGAGGGGTCTAACTGCAAAACTCATATTATCACATTTTGGCGAAATTGAGATAGACTCAGTTTCTTATTCTCCATATTGGATTACATTAAATTAAAGTCTAAAAATGCCACAAAACACTTGTTATCCAGTAGAAAATTAATGCCAAAAAGTCGAGTTAACTGAAAAACTTACGTTATCCACACTTCAATTTACATCAAAACTCACATTTTCCATTCAACCAATAGGAGGCCGCTTCCTGGCTGCGCGCGAACTCGAATCTCAAATGCCGGCGCTATTGTATCAGTTCGTTTGTTTTTGTAACGAGGTTTAACCGTTAGAGTTTGATTCATTTATTCCTCGTGTTTTGTAATTATTTAAAGATATATTATTAATTACATTATATTAATATATCCATTAAAGCGTATTACACCTAATGGATGTACTAGTATCTCCAGTAAGTGGTGGAGAACGGGCACGAAAAGCTGTTCCAAACCCCGAGAAGTGGAAAAGGGCAATAGTAAAAAAACAAAGGTAGGTTAGATAAATGTGTTTTTACAGCGTAATCATTGTTTAAATTATAGATTACATTTCTCTGTTATTTTAAAATGTGTAATGAAATGTGTAATAATCATGTTTCTTTTTTTTTTAGATATTGTGCTACGGGATTCCCCGACTATCCTACATGCAGTCATTCACAAGGGGCATTTCATTGCAAGACTTTAACTATACAAGACATTCGTAGATTTCGCCAGAAATTCTACAAAAACAAGGACAAAGTAAGTCAGGATAATTTTATACTTTTGCACATATCATTGGAACCTTTACAAAGGAGAAGACTCCCAAAAAATCCCGCTATAACCAATAAGAAGCAAAAAAAGGCGCAAGAAACAAGAGCCAAATACTTTATTCCAGACAGGGAAAAATGTAAAGTGCCTGTTTGCATGCAGACATTTTTAAAGTGCTTGAAAATATCACGTTTTAGAGTAAATCGTTTATCAAAATATTTTCGTGATGGAATAATGCCAAAAGAAAGACGAGGTGGAGACCATACGGGTGATCGCTTTGGTCCTAAAAAGGAAGCAATAATGAAATTTATAAATAGATTTAAATGCAGTGAAACACATTATTGCTCAAACAAAGGTTGCCGTAAATATCTCCCTTCTGAGTTGAACATCAAAAAGTTATACATGGAGAATATTTTGTGCAGATGAGAAATTTAAAGACATGGAAGTTAAAGAATGTTATTTCCGTTACATTTTTAACAGAAATTACAATTTGGGTTTTGGCTCACCCCATATAGACGTTTGCTCTACTTGTTTAGAATTGACCGAAAGCATTAAAGTTTTTAAAGAGACCGTTCAGTAAAATAATTTAATGGTTGAAAAAAGAGTGCACAAATTAAGGTCAAAAGCATTCTATGAATTGCCCAAGGAAAATGTAAATGATTTACTGATTCCCTCTTTTGATTGTCAGAAGAATCAACCACTTCCAAAAATTTCTGATCAAGCTACTTACTACAGCAGACAGATTTATTTGAACAATTTCTGTGTAGTTGCTGGTCATTCTAAATCAAAAATGGGTACCCAAACCGTGACATCCTTTATTTGGACTGAAAATGAGTACCACAAAGGAGCAAATGAAATATCATCTTGCTTATTTTATTATTTAAACTCAATTGTTGATTTGTCACCTTACAAAACCATTAGACTTATTTGTGATGGTTGTGGTGGACAAAACAAAAATACTATTTTAATTAGCATGGTGGCATACTGGCTTTCAAAAGCACCAGGTAATATTAAAGAGGTGCAATTGGTTTTCCCTGTCACAGGACACAGCTTTATACCTCCGGATCGTGTATTTGGTAACATCGAAAAAGAGATAAAAAAGCAAGAAAATATTGTTTCTCCAACGAATACATTGATATAATAAAAAAATATTCAACGGTAAAGATACTCGGAACTGATTTAATTAACATGGATTGGAAAAATGCCATTATTGATGTCATTAAACCTTCAAGTGGCTTGCACTTTGGCATAAAATCATGCAAACGTGTTTATTTAACAATATCAGGGCACACAATCCTTATTCAGGGAGAATGTAATTACAGAAATAAGTTGATGACTGCAAAGTCTATTGCAAAGCGAGGAAAATGACTGATCGAACTTCAACCCCAAGAAATTGTTAAGGGGAATAGCCTAAAACAAGAAAAGAAAGATAACGTTCAAACATTATTAGGTAAGCATTATGGCCAGGACTGGAGATCTCTAGATACCCTACAGTTTTTTAAGCATGCCATTGATAATGAATCTGCAGTCGAACAACAACATGACGAAACAGAAGAATATGAGCTTTTATGCCAACCGCAGAAGGAAATTTCTGCTTTTAACATTTAGTTTTTTTTTCATTTTATTGTAACTAATTTTATGTTGAATGGACATAATAAAATAATAATATAAATTTTATGAATTTTAGCTTTTGGCATCTTTTACATTTTCCTTTATATTTATATAATATATATATATATATATATATATATATATATATATATATATATATATATATATATATTTGCAATAATATTTCAATCCATAAATCTAAGGTAGAAACCTAGAAACTGATGGTGTAGCTCAAACTCGCTCATTCGGGAATGAAGCAAAACGTACATTCTCCATATCGCTTGGATGCAAAACTCACATTTTTCATTTTTGAACTCAAAACTCACATTATCCAAACTTAAACATTAAAAAATATATATTTATAGTCACAGATTCTGCCAAGTGCTTTAATTAATCCTTTATTAAAAAAAGTATTAATAAATGTTTTGGGCAAAAAAGTATTTCTTTTGTTTTCTGTAGAACTGAAAGACAGTCTAAAAGAATTAAGGATTTTTTAATATAAGAGTTTTTAACATATTTCAAAGCTTCGAGTATGGCGAATGATTCCGCCGAGAAAATTGAAAACTCATTGGAAAGTTTGTACTTAAATTCGGAACATCCTGAGGGTATAAAATAGGCACAGCCAGTCGCTTCTACTGATTTAGATTCGTCTGTGTATATAACTGAGACATCACTATAACAGTTCAAAACAGATCTCAGAATATTGTTGCTCATTTTGTTGTTGTCATTGTATGTGGATATTATACCTTCAGTTTTATGCAAGAGAGCAAAGAAGTCTAAATTTTTGTTCACTTTGGTAAAATTCTTTAAAAAAATAGATTTGTTCTATAAAGCAGTGCACAAAGATGAAGACAAATAAACTATTGTTTTTATATCGTTTGCAGTTAGCTTTCAGTTGTTTTAAGTAATACCTAATAATTCTGATTAACTTTTATTTTATTTTATATTATCTGACTGGATTTTTAATTTGTCATATATTTTTAGTTGAACTTAGAAATCAAAAATAAATTCTTACAACGATATTTTTTGCTTTGACAGTAACAGCAATTTATAAAAGGATATTTAGGTAAGACATTTCTAGCGCAAATTTGTGAAACGCGTTCCTAAAAAAGTTGCTCCTATAAAAACAAACACACACGTAAGTAATTGTCTCATCCATCTTCGACTTAAGTTGACAAAGAAAGAGGAATTCATCAACAATAGTAAATTACTTACTTTAGATATTGCCATGTTTATATTTTCCACACTTGACAACATTGACGTATTTGGATGTATACTTGGTAAAGTAATAATATGAGTGGAAAAATACCAGCGTGTCACTTCTAATACATAAATTTTAAAAAAATTCTAAATCGTTTTTAATTTATTTCTCGTGGATTGAGATAAAATTTTTGTTCTTTTTTAATGTTTGAGGCTTGTGTTTTGGCTGTTTTTTCCTCCAGATACTTGTTGTGTAATACAATTTTTTGATATGTATACTTCATCTAATTTACTTACCGTTGAACGTCATCCGCGTCATAGTCCGTGAGGTCACATGATACCAACACGAAATATTTAGGCGGTAGGTGTGTTCTTTTTTAGAATCACCTTGTCGAGTACACTGACATTACAGCCACTAGACATATTTTATTATATACGCGTAGAAATAATATTTAAAGAGAAGACCGGCCCTGGCAAGGTATGGTTAAGTTGTACTGATATCGTACTCCTAGTTTTTAATAAAAACAAGTGGTTATATTAAATAGTTTTTTAAAATAAAGTGTTTATCTACTAGATACTACTACGTAAGTTATCTATACGTTATTATTATTTTATTAGTGTGAAAAGAAAACGTCAATAATAAATATATACTACCGCACAATCATTTTGTAAGGTTAGCTGTTATAAGTACCTTATAGTAGCATGCGGTTAGTTTTTCACTTACCAGAGTCGGAGTAAGGCCTTCGCCGAAATAGCTTAAAATAACTTCACAAAATGTAAACACACCTTCCGATCTAACCAGTCCAGTAAATCAACGTTCGAATATCACAAACAGTTATGCATCAGCCGCTTCACACTCTTTTCCGAGTAAGACCCAAGTAATTGTATTTAGTTTCATCGATAATGCTAAACTGCAGGATTATCTCATTCCTTTGTGCACAATCATCAACCCAAAAAATATTATTTTTTCATCTAGATTATCTCATAATAGAATTTGCATGTATTTGGCAAACAAAACCGTAGTAGATAACTTCATGACACAACATGGCTCTATAGAAGTACTCGGCGAAGTTGTAACAGCACGAAGACTTGTCTCTCCAGCAGAAAAACTAGTCTTGTCTGGAGTCTGCCCGTCAATTCCTCATCAAGTATTAGTTGAAGAATTACAGAATATCGGTTTAAAGCTCATTTCCCCAATATCATTTCTGAAAATTAGCTCGACTCTCCCCGAATATAGTCACATATTGAGCTTTCGGAGGCAAGTTTTTATAAGCCCTATAACATCACCAATTCCAGATTCTATTCTAATAAATTTCGAGCAAACACCTTACCGCATATTTTTGTCACAAGGTACACTTACCTGCTTTATTTGCAAAAATACAGGACACATATCATCCCAATGCAATAACAGTTCAGTAACGGAATCAACTCATATTGAGTCAAACAATGAAGTACCAAATCAAACAGATTCAACAAGTATACTACACAAGGTACCAAACACCCAGCAGTCATCAAGTTATCTATTATCAAATCCAAGCATATCACCTACACCTACAAATCTCCATGACAAAGAAATTACTAACGCTCCTACTTATAACAACACTTTCAATCAACCTCATTCAGTAGCAATACCGTTTTCACAAACTTCGGAAGCAATATCCTCCAATCTATCAGCTTCTTTTTCATTAGATACAACTGCAGAAAATTCTAATAAAACTGATACAACAAGACAATTTTCTGAAACAACCATTTCAACCAATCTTACAAATTAAACTTCAAGCTCGAGTTCTGTCACTACCAAGGAGTTTGCTCCAGTACTTCCAAATGTAATAAAGCCACAGTATCTAAGTGAAAACTCTAATAACAATTCCCAAAAAACACAAGTTCTTCCATAAAACGCAGTATTGGTGAGATCGTCACGCCTCCTTCAGACTCAGTAATTTCATCAGAAAATCTGTTTGCAAAACCCAAACCCTCTAAACCAAAACAAGCGCGCTCATATAAAGTCCCATCTACACGGGAAACTCTTGAAAATTTCATTGATAATCATACCCCACCATTCGTTTTAAATTACCACCAATTGTCCTTACTGATTGATAATGTCCAAGGCTCCTCCGACACTATTAGCATCGTCAAAGAATTTACAACTGATATCGATGGTTTACTCCATCTTTTAGAAAGCAATATGCAAATGATAGATCTACAAAAAGTAAGTTTACAAAACTTCAAAAGAAACTATACAACCATTTAGAGAAAGAGGTTTCTGACTTAGATAGTGACTCTTCTGTAGACAATTGTTCAGTATCATCTAACTCCGAATCTGTTAACAACATTCAACTCGATACTTCAATGGAACATTGATGGATTTTTTCATCGTCTCCCTATGATACAGCTTCTTTTATCTAAATATTTTCCAGATATTATTATTTCTTATGAACATGGAAGAAGCGTCCAATTTTTATGGGTTCCCTCAATCGCCAGAATAACAAGAAATGAAGAAGCTGACAGGACTGCACGAGAGGCAATTTTAAGTGATTTGTCAAAGCCGATAGACAAGTGTGTTTTTAGTGACTTAGAAGCTTATTTTAAAAATAAAGTGTGGTGTTTGTGGCAAAATGAGTGGTCTCAAACTAATTCCAATCTAAATAAAATCAAAAATAATGTGTCTCAGTGGTTTCCATCGTCTCTCAAGAGACGAGAACAAATTGCGGTTGCGCGTTTACGCCTACAAGATCCCAAACGCTCTACTACAGGCTCTAGGTCAAAACTGTTCCTGTAACAATATAGTGAATAATCTTAGATCCATAAACATTTTGTACAATCTGTAGGTGTTTAACTTTGTTTTTTATATTTTGTTCCGTCGCTAATAACCTTTTGGTGGATGCGACATCTTTTTCTAATAAAAAAAAAATATTTAAAGATTTCTATTAATGTTAACTTAAAGAAATACACAATAATATGTTTCATTTAATGTGTATAAATGCATTATAAAGCGTTTTTATGAAGGACATTTGTTCGGAACACATTGTAACTGTAATCGAACGAAGGTGATATTTTGGCATATATTGGTAACACTTATTTGACAGTTGCGGTGTTGACACTTTTTGTACTTTATTTATTTTGAATTTTAAAGTGAATACCTTTATATTCTTGTTTTATATTTTTACCTATTTAATAAAATCTGTCCTTTTTATACCAAAATTAGTGTGTTTTATTTCAAAAATGTCACGTAAGAATTTAAATAGTTGTTTTAAAGAGATGGTTATACTTTTGCAATAATTATGTGACCTATTTGATTTAAAATGGAGTCAGGATTTTTTTATACTTTGG